AGTCACACTCCTCCAAATTGTTTCTCTTCAGCCACCGTGCCAACCCTCAAAATTAAGAATATCTTTTTTGGCATTTTACTATACAGATGCCACTTCCTGCATTAAATTATTAATTCTAATTTGTCTTCTTATCCTCCCTTTACAAAGTTTAAAGCTCAGCCTTTGTGAATAACCTGTGAATATGTAAAACTTGTTCATGTTTGTCTACTTCCTTTAAAGGAAACTGACAATGAACAATGCAAATCTTTGGACACAAATGCAGAGTCTGTTGCACAATCCAACATATATGTGCGACATGAACAACTGTCTCTACGAAACTGTGTACTATCAAAATACCATCAATCTTACGCAGCTTTGAACTGAAATTCCCGGTCCAAGGTCGAATATTCTGAAGATAATACTGTTCAACAGTCAATTTCAGAGATAAAGTGTTGATGTTTATTTCACACAAGAAACGATTTCCAAGAAGGAATGTGAAAATTGTTCTGCCTGTCACAGACAATATAAAAATATATAGGACTGGTACTTCCAACGCATGATTGAATTCAAGAACTAGATGTTGTGATGTCTATAAGAAATCTAATGCAGGTTAATTATACATACTTCACTCTTATTCAATTGTCTCTCCCCTTCCACTCCCACAACCTCCCCATCAGCTCAAGTCAAAATTGTAGCTGTAACAGTAAAAAGGAAATACGCTGTCAGATGTATTAGCACATTTTGACACTGAACAATAGAATTAATTATGAAATGTGCAATGATTTATTTGCTTTTATTTGCTAGGCATCCAAAACTGGCATGCTAAGAAATGAGTGCCAACTGCATTTTCTCCCTTCAATTTAAGGCTCTTGCAAAATAAACCAACAATACAAACTCTACTGAAAAGGTTTAACCAATGAAAAGTGTTAAATTTTCACTAATTCCAAATCATAAAAGTTTAACATTTGGCCAATTGCAGCAAACACCTGCAGAAAGACACATTCTTTCCAGTAAATAACAATTAAGGAGCTCATTTCCAATATTTAGAAATTCTGTTTTTTTTAAATGGAACTTTAACAGCAGAACAGCTGCCCCATCGTGCAACTCCAACTCAGAATTTCTGCCAATAAGACAGCCAAAAATCATGGAATAAAGCTGAAGTCATTGCCACAAGCAAACTTAGTTAGAGAGTTCAAACTACACTAAATTTCAGACAAAGGGCAACATTTTAAATTTTTTTTTCAAAGGGATCTTTGTATTCTTATATATTTGAATATGAAAAGTAATTTTCAGGCATTGGAGCTTTCTTCTGGCATAACAGAAGTTTGAGAGCTGGTTGAAAGATGCCATATGCACTTCACTGAGTTTTAAACTGGAAGACTAATTTAGCAAAGACAACTTGCTGGCTGGGTAGCAGGAAAGCAAAACAACACATTCAACAAAAACCAAGTTAGAATTTACTTGTTGGTGGAGTGCTAAAGCATTTTTTTTTTGGCAGTTCTGAAGTTGAGAGCCAGAAAACCTTGCCTGCAGCAGCTGGCTCAATAATTAGAAGTTTTATTTTCACGAACAGAACATCTAATGCAGAATGGATTTAAATCAACCAACCCACAGAACCAGAATCCATCACTGCTGAACATCACAGTCTATTAAAGAACAACCTGGTGATTATCCCTCACCCACAGAATTATGTGAAAAAACTTCAACATCATCCAAGAGCATGACTCCACAACCGCCCACTCTTACCACAAACTAAGTGATATACCCATAGGGAATGTGTGTACTGCAGGCCTTCTTTATCTATACTTCATTATTCTCACAGTCAAAGATTGAATGAAACATTAACTCAGTAAGCAAACAAACCGTAAATGTGCAGAAATCTGTGTTCCATCTAAAGAATGATAATTTCCATGGCCCACTGCATACGTTAGGTTTTAATGCATGCACAAGAATATGCCACGTTTTATAATCTACATTTCCAGTGTACACGTGTGCAAGAAACGATCTACTATTCAACGTCAGCTCAGAGGTGTTAAGGGTAGATAAGAACGTTGTCTCATAATGAAGACATCTGATGGAGGTGGAGGAAGCAGGAGGGCAATTTTATTTCTTAATTTAAATGCATTCAAGTAGTAGGGCCAGTGAAATAGAATCACAAAACCTGCTACATAAAGGGTAATGAGCAGAAATAAATGGCAGGGAGGCAAGGAGAAGAGGGAGGAAAAGAAAATTAATTTCAACTCGTCAGGGTGAAGTATAGAGAGAAATAATGGAAAAAGTACAAACATACTTGTAAATAATTGGCACCATTAAACTCTTGGCCATGAAAATATGCTTATCCTGATACACAGTGATAATATTGTAATATTAGTATTTTAAATTAGTGCAAGATTTGAAAGATTGTTTTGAAGAATGTATTTGGCCTAAGAAGATAGACTTTTCCTGCAATTAACAATCTAACTGGCTAAAAGTCCTTAATTTAAATACAATACTGTGGATAATAGAAACATAAAATATAAAAAGAAGCTTGAAATCAACTTCAGAACAGGTAATAAGAAAAATGATAAATTTTAACCTTTCACTAGAAACAGTGATAGGTCAAAGGACCTGAAATATCATTAACAAGTCTCGTGTGTTTTTGCTGTTTTTTTTAAAATTAAGAATGTAAATTGCTTCAGGTTTTGACAAAAATTTCAACTGAATACATTTGATATTTAAATTTGCATATATATTACAATTGTATTAAGATGCACCTCAAAAACACCGAAGCTGGTTAAGATTTGCAATGCTTACTTTCAAGAAGCAAGAAGACTAGACAATTTGTTGAAGTCAAGTGTTTTGGGAAGAAAACAAAAAAATGAAATTGATACCACTATCAGATCAGCCATGGTCTTACCAAATGGTGGAAGAGCAGAACGAACCATTGTCTCTAGTTCATACGTGTCTTCGTAGCACTTTGCCCCATTAAGCATGTTAAACAGATAATGTGGTTTAATACCCAACCTTTTTTGAGCTCATACCTTGTAGAGACTTAAAACAAAAAAACTTGTTCCAATAATGGTAAATGTGGGCTTTTGAATTTTAACTTCCATCAGATTGTTCACGGACAAATTTGACTTTTAAAAAGAAACATGGACCTGAAAAGTTAGTGGTCACCTGACCTCCAATTAAAGCAAACTGTGAGAGACCCATGTAGAATAAGCAAAACTATCTGCACTGAAACTACCACTTTCAATTGAAGCATGTTGAAATCAAGCAAATGACATGAAGTTTGCATCACCTGTTTAATTTATACCCATATGATAATTTCACACAGTAGGAACTGAAAGGCTCACTTGCCAGTTAGTGAGCTTGGAAGGGTAATACAGCCAGGCTCATGAATGCACACTGAACAAGATTTCAAAAGCTGTTTTTGAGCAACAGATGAGAGAAAAAGGGAATGGATTGGCAAAGGCTGAAACTGAAAGACTCTTGCTCTCTTCCTCTGCATATCAAAAATAGCATTCAATGAAAAAACAAATTAGGAAAGCAACCATTCACTGAGAATTCGAAAAGTTATCAACACGTTCTGTGGCTGCTGAGAATACCAGCCAACCACAGGTTCAAACATCAAGTACCTCAGTGTTGTAAGGACTTTTAGATTATGTAGCCTTTATTCTTCCAGTCTGTGACAGACTATTTCCCTTGTAAAGGGTGCAAAATAATCTTGTTCACAAAGTGAATAGTTCGGGTATGAAATGCACTGCCTAGTAATATGCTGGAGGCAGGTTCAATTGAGGCATCCTGGAGGGCACCGGATGACAATTTGGATCAAAATGGTGTGCAGGGATGATATAGGGGAAAGGCACAAGATTGGCCTTAGATAATAGAACCAGTACAGGCATGATGGGCCAAATGGTCTTTCTGGACCATTGTAATTCTGAGGTACTGTATATATTACCTGGGTCAGTGTGTGTTTGATGTTGTGTTTTTATATTTTTGGGGGAGGGGCTTGGTAGGTGCTATTATTTGTTCTTTTACTCAAGAAACCCTTAAATTGGCTTCTGCATTTTCATCAAGTTAATGACATCTTCCATTGTCATGTGGTACAGCTGCCTGCTGATATAAGTGTAAAAATTGCTTTAAGGGACTGAGGGATTTGAAAGGGAGTGAAGCCCATCACCCTTCAACCTGGTCGTAATTACTTCAAGTAATTAGCTTTAAATAATCTCACTTTTTTCCAAATATGAACAGTAAATTTAGCAGTGATTTGTAGGGGGGGAAAGAGGTAAAAGGAGGCAAGTGTTAAAATGCTAGGTTGCTATGCAACAAACTGCTCACTTGTATTCGTGCAGTGATCAGATGGGGCGCTTCAATAAGCTCTGGTGCACTTTGGATTCTCCAGCTGTTCTGTGTTTCTGAAACACATCTGTGTGGCCCGGGCAGGCAATATTAAAGCCAGGACAGTGAACTGATATAAGCCTGGCTGACACTGAAACCCAAAGACATACAAGGGAGGGTTAGCAGCCCCTGAAATTCAACAATGTGTGCAACAACTGCTCTCGGTGCAGTTAAACACCAGTAACCTCTCCTATTCGTCCATATTTTAGCTGATGTGTGTCTGAATCTGTTAGGGGAGTAACAGTACTGCTCCCATCTCAAACCTTGGCGACCTGTCTGAACACAATAATCAAAAAAAAGTGTGATATGGTCTACTCAGCTACTGCCTATAGTGACCAGTTCAGGTCTCATCAGTGGCTATGAATCGACTACACCCTGAGAAACAGCAGATCAGAAAGTTTCCCAGCTCCATCTCACCGTCAACGCACGACTCTTATTCACTCCAGAGTTGCTTTTAAACCAGGATTTCAATTGCTTTTTGTTTAAAAATGAACCTTCCACCGTCGCCCCAAACCTAGTGACAGACTAGCAGCAACCGCCTGCAGTACATATCAACCCAATGCTCACAATGCTGTACAGGCATTGCAGAGGGGTGGGGGTAAAGAGATGGGTACACGCCTCTTTCAGATTGTAATCCTTACCTTGTCTTGCTGTCTGCATACACACACACTTCTGCTTCACTCGGAACGTGGTTGGTGTGGGTTTTCTCCGACAAACTGCGAAGAAAAAAATCAATCAGCGACTTGAGAGAGGTGCCCACACACCCAAAAAAAAACAAGGGGCCAGGAAGAAAATGATCTAAATAGCTTCACTCTGCTGCCAACCAGCGAAAGACTAATCTGCTCTCTCCGGGCTGGACAAAGAGGGGGCGACCTCGCCGTGATTCACACCGTTAGCCACTGCCAGCGGTTTGCAGGAATCCATGACAACATGCCAAAAAAAAAGGTTTCAGGAGTATCTCGATTAAACGTGGGGTTTGGATTTTACGCAATCTACACAGCCAAAAAGGAATAAAGAAACCAGGACAACTGCTTATTGGAGAGGCAGCATTAAATGTACTTAAAATACATGCCAAATATCAAATACTGTTCTCATTTATTTCTTTTAAAGATAAATCTTGCACGTTCAATTGTTATTTTAACCAGTGTAACACATGCAAAAGTCGCAGACCTTTCGGCCCTTGCAATCCTATATATTTCTCTTCTAGCCCCGGGCTTCCTTCTTGCGCTTTTCACAGACACTACCAGTAAATATCACCGTTTTTTAAACAATATTCGCAAAACACAAAACGATTGCTTTTTTTTTCCCTGAAAAAAAAATCCTCCAAGAATGCATCCCACACCCAGACAGAAGTATAATAGCTGCATTTTGGGTTTTAAAGAGAGAGAGAAAAAAAAAACAAGGTTCTTGCATTCATCAGGTAAAGAAACCAAGTGTCGCTTTTTCTGGTTTCACTGCATCCCGAGTCTAAAAAAAAGTGCATAATAGCCGGTGTGTAATTTTAAGTATATTCTAATGGCTTTTTTTTCGTTTGCACCAACCTGTGAGACAGTTCAAACGCAACCCATCCTCTCGCTGTCAAATTCCGCTCTGCCAAAGGAAAACAGGCTGCACGTAAGGGAGGTGTCAGGCAGGGCTGGGCGTGCCCTCGAGGGGAATTGCTCTCCGGTCATTTAACCTCGTGTTACTGTCCGAGCCTTGGCACACACACACACAGACACGGTCAGCTTGTTAACACCACTCTAGTTCTATTACCCGCAGGAAACCACAAACTCATACCCTTCCCGCCGGCAACTAGAGCCTGCAATTTCCCCGACACTCAAAGAAAACTATTATAATCCCATTTTGTCGAGATTTATAACCCTGTTTGGTGAGATTTCTCGTTTTTAACACGCTCTGATCTCTGCAACTGCATGTTATGATGCTCAGTCTCCTAGCCAGCCGTGTATTCGGTATCTCATCAGTTCAACACCACTGTACCTCCATCAGCCCAGCTTGTTCTGTTAGAGTGACAAGGTCGAAAATCACTCGACACCAGGTTATAGACCAACAGGTTTAATTGAACACATCAGCTTTCGGAGCATTGTCCCTACCTCATTCAACCTGATCTACTCATCTATGCCACACACAGCTCCTTCTGATTGTATCCCTTCCACTTACAATAACTTGTCCACATTAGTGACTCATCGATTATCCCTTCACCATTCACGCCTCATTTCATGGGACAAAAAAAAACATTTCGTTCTTTCAGTTGGTAAACAGTTCCCGAATGCACCACGGAAGTTCAACAGCTGTCATTTCTTACCTTCAACCTCCACAGTTAGCCTCCTGCAAATTTAATTATCTCACGTTTGCTGGCTCCACTGTTCCTGGTTCACCCTCCTCTTCCAATTTCTAATGAGATTCCCCATGTCACCCCTGATAAAGCTATTCCCAAGAAATTCATTTCTCCAGTCATGCATATACTTCTGCAAATTAATAAATACTATTATGAGAATTATTGCTGTCATTTACTGCCTCTGGTCCAAACTGAACCAAACCAAACTGTACAACCAGTCACTGATCTAATTTATACTGGCACAGTCTCACCATATGGCGCCTTCATGTTCATTAACTTTGCAGTGCTGTTAACTTTCTGTCCAAGGACAGATTGTGGGCAGAATTCACCATCTTACCACAGTTAATATTTTGTTCTTCCCTTGTTCAATGTCCCACTATCTATATTCATGTTTGTTCCGACACGCCGTCACTGAGTAATCAATCTCTATTCCCCTCAATGCAGCTTCATATCAACTCCAATCCTGAACCAATGGTAAGCTGAGTCCTCTCCTTGCTCAAGATGTGGTTCAACTAATTTGTGTCCTCAATTGCAACTTTGCCATTTAGTTGAACATATTCTGTGATGGCAAAAGCAGTTTCGTGGTATAACAATGGATTATAACATCAAACTTCAGTTTGGTCAATTTGTACACTAGTGGATACCTCAATTCGGAGGAAGGGTCACTGGACCCGAAACGTTAACTCTGATTTCTTATCACAGATACTGCCAGACCTGCTGATCTTTTCCAGTAATCTCTATTTGAATCTCTTATGATGTTGCTGGAGATATTTGGTTCATATATTATGCTCGGTATCTGTTTGCCATCCACATGCGGTTAATTTGTTTTTGATTACTTGTATATTTTCTTCTTCTTCCTGTACTCTCATTATCTTCCAGCTTTTACATTTACTTTGCTGAGAAGTAGGTGGTCAGGGCATCATGATGTGGCAGAAGGCAGAGTGGTGAAGGGCCATATACTGAGCTTTTTGCAGCAGAAGGCCTGGTGAAAATATAAATTTGTGGTCCTTAGTTGGCACCACCTCTTTCCAACAACCAATCATTCTTCCTCCCCAACAGCCACTCATTCTCCTTCTGATCTTTGCCCTTATTGTCATTCTCCCTCCAAGACACTACCCAGTTCTACCCAATGGCAACTCATTCCCCAGTATCAACAAATCCATTCACTTTTCCCTCTTCCTGATTATTTCCTCAGGCTCTGACACTATAGTTCTCAGCAACCTCTCCTGCCCTCCATAAATACAATGATCAATAGCAAAGCAGGGAATTCCAGGAAGAAAATACATGACACAGTGGTAATGTCCCTACCTCTGTACTGGGTGGCCTGCGTTTAAGTCCCGCCTGCTCCAAAGGTGTATCGTAACATCACCGAACAGGTTCATTTGAAAATATCTAAAATTAAAATCACAACGAAGAAAACAGCATCAAGGCCTGAAGTGATAGTAACAGAAAGAATCCAGAGAATGATGATAGAAGCAGTTATCTGAGAGCAACACAATCCATGATGATGAAGTAGATTGAGCTGTAGAACGTTTCGGATTCAAAAATGAAATGAATCACGTCGTCGGTGCTGTATGAAGCACAGCAGGCAATGCATTAAACTGTGATGTGGGCAAAGCAAGACAGAGTGGGACAACACATGATGAAGAGCAGAGTGTGAAGTGGAACTCAAAATTACAAAACATTAGAGATAAGACAACAACGCAATTCTTGGAGAAGAAACAAAGTGGGAGAAAAGAGTGTTGACCAGAATAAGAGAGAGATCTGGGTCGAGTGCCTAAGTGCATAGCAGGAGGGGGAAAAAAGGCTGAAAGTAAACATAAAATGAACTTAATATTAAATTTAAAAGATCAATTGTCAGTATTCATTTGAAATAACAGGCAAAAAATGTTAGTTTTTGGAAAATCTGACCTTCTCTAAATGCCACCTACTGGGATGAAATTGCTACTGCATTGTTATAAATACCCATAAGAAATTCATGCAGTTGGTCTAATAATTTATGCATTTAAAGAGTGCAAATTTAAATGTCAGCGCAGCAATTTGAAAGTTTGCATTTATTTAAAAACAATGTAGAAATAAAAGATTGATACCAGATTGTGATGAAAATCCAGCTGGTTCATTATTGCCCTGAACAGGAGGAAATCCATTATCCTTATCCTGTTGAGGCATGTGACTTCTTCCTACAATATGATCCACTTTTAACTGCCCTCTGAAACAACCTAGCAAGCCACTATAGAACGACTATGCTAAAGGATAACTATCATTATGGAAGCACCTTCGCGACACAGATTCAAAAGGACAGTCCAGCACTTCCTCAGGACAATTGGAATGGTCAATAACTGTCAGGAACATTCACATATTGAGAATGATGTTTTAAAAATTCCATTCTCAATGTTTGCCCAAGAGTTTCAAAGTTAAATATTGGTACAAAATTGTGTAAAAATCGTGACTACAGCAAATGTACACATACAGAATTATGTTCTGATTCGGAAAAATTAAGTGTTTTCCTCTAATGTGTGCCTTTCTGAATGAGTAATTGCTCATTAAATGATATGCTGAGATAACTACGTGATTCTTCTCTTCAGAGATGTATTTGTTCTGTAATCCATCAGAAGACAGTATAAATATAGGAATTCTCATGGGTTTCAGTTGCTTTTCTTGCTGCTGTTTACTCACATATCACATGATAAATATGGATGAGGGAGCCTTACTTAGATCATCCATCTAGAAAATGAAAAAATTCTCTATAAATGTCACCAAACTGATTTTACTATTGAGTTAGAATGCCTTACATTTGTCTTCTCTAAGTCTGATCTGCCATTACTCTGCTGTTTATGGATTTTGCTTAGCTTTGTAGTATATTGGTTGTTTCCATGGAGTGACTGCCAAAATATTAAATTTGGTGCTTGCAAATGTAACTAATTTGCATCATAGTTGAATTTAAATTATTAATTTATTAAGCACAGTAGAGGTTCTGACATCAATCCTTGAGATGCTGTATTCAGTATTTTCTCAATATCACAACTTTTCTAGCAGTTGTATTTCCTTCAGTTAATTTTTAAATCACAAAAACATGTTTTTTTTTATCGTTTTGGCTTAGATACAACAGGAACTTGAGCCCAAAACTAAACTAGGTTGACTGTCCAGTACATCTTGGACTGTCTGACTCTCTCCATCTGTGACCCTGATTTCACAGGTGGAAAAGAAGTTTCCATAAAACTATGGCCAAGAAAAGCAGAGGCACTTTCCTGGCATTTCTAGACAATATTTATGCCTCAATCAACATTACAGAAGTAAATTCTTATCATAATCATATACCTGTGTGACCATGCTGTGCACAGTACGGCTGCTACATTCCTAAAACACTTGACAGACATTCAATGAGCTTTAAAGTGCTTTGAGAGATGCTGAGGTCATGAAAGACTCTCTTTCTTCCTTTTGTTTATGATTACCAATGTGAGGCAACACAAAGATTTGTTATTTTCGAGGTTACTTTTAAAGTTTCTTTTCCCAAAAAACAAAAATGTGAATGCATATCTTTTTTCCAAACAAGTTGGACCTCTACAGCATTCAGTACAAGTCAGCATAATTGTGAACAATTCAAATTCTGACCCTACCTTCATACTTTGAGATAGATTCCACTCTTTCCTAAATATTTGAGGTTGCAGGCATGATCGCTGAGCTGGTGGGTTTGGTTGCAAGTATTTCGTCATCCTGCTAGGTAACATCCTCAGTGCGCCTCCAGTGAAGTGTTGGTGTTCTGTCACACTTGTTGTTTGTATGTCTCGGTTTGCTGGGGTGGTTGGTATTACTTCCGGTTTTGTTTCTCAGTGGTTTGTACACAGGGTCTAATTCAATGTGTTTGTAGATGGAGTTCCGGTTGGAACACCAGGCCTCCAGGACTTCCCTGGCATGTCTCTGTTTGGCTTGTGCGATTATCAATGTGTTGTCCCAGTCAAATTTGTGTCCTTTGTTGTCCATATATAGTGAGACAAATGAGAATTGGTCACGTCTCTTGGTAGCTAATTGGTGTTCATGTATCTGTATTGTCAATTTTCTTCTGGTTTGGCCTACGTAGTGTTTCTCACAGTCCTTGCATGGTATTTTGTATATTACCCCAGTTCTGCTGGTTTTTGGTATGCGATCCTTTACGTTCGTCAGTAGCTGTCGTAGGGTGGTTGTCGGTTTGTGAGTTACTCTGATACCTAGGGGCCTGAGTAGTCTTGTGGTCATCTCTGAAATGTCCTTGATGTACGGTAGGGTGATTAATCAGTCTGGTCGTGTTGTGTCTT